GAAAGAGAAGGGCTTGTTCCGCCAAGTGTTAAAACATATCATTCCAAACTTAATAAGGAGGTAGTGTCATACTAGGATCTATGACTCAGTGAAGGCTGAAACATATGCCAGACTATAAAATAACCCATCGTGTAAATGTGACATTTTAAATCACAGTGGAAAGTTTTCACTGGCCAAATAATTGTCCTAAGAACACTGAAAGAATTATGGGTAAAATTTCTACTGTGTGCAATGGAGAAAATAAATTCCAGATGGATGACAGGATTAGATATAAAAAGAAAAAAATGATAGTCAATAAAAAGTCATAAAATAATTACTCATTGGTGTTTTCTATTGGCCTGATCTGTAACGAGAAAGAGAACCTGCCCTCAGCTGGAAAGACAAGGTAGCCTAGTCCTACTAGCTTGAACGTCACCATCATAACCCCCATCAGACAGGCCGTCATCCATCGCCATCCCTCAGCCTTACCTGCTAAGCTAACCATCTGCTACTCAACAGGGAGCCCCTCTTCCGCTAGACAAACCCTCCCCAACTTCAGACAAACATTCAGATGAATCATTAGAAGCCCCATTTCTCTCTTCATTCTACTGTCTACTCAGTGATTCGACTATCTCAGCTCACCCTACTGTCTTGCAGTGCTGGAAGTCAGATGAGCTCCCTCTTTAACATTAGGCTACTGAGGTTCCCCTGCCTAAGCACCTTCATCACTTCATCCTCCTTTCACCTGTCACAGTGAAAAGGGGACTTCTCCCCACCCATTCCTGCTCTTGTCTTTCCAGGGTGCTCCCAAGTCAGCCCCCTTCCTCTTCTCCACCCTTCTAATCTTTGGAAATGAACTGGTTTGTTTGTTTGTTTATTTATTTATTTATTTATTTATTTATTTATTTATCTTTTGCCTCACTTCTCATCTCTCTCGTCTTTTACATTTTCTTGTTCTTCATAATGAAAAGATTTTGCTCATTGCACTTTACCTTCTACTTCTTTTTTAGCCCTCTCCATGTACTGTTTACACAACCAGTCTCCCTACAGTATTATTACTCTTGATGCAAGTGTTGGGATACTAGGTTCATTAGCAATCTCAAGGCCACATCTGAGTTGATCATTCAACCATATCCATCACTGACTGCTAAGCAGTCCTATCCCAACTCCCTCTCCCTCCATAGCTGCTGCAGTGACAACTCAACTTTCTGCTTACCTAGTTGCTTCTCTTCAACACTGGCTCCTAGTGCCCCCATGTGTTTTCCTCCTCACTGTTGAGACAAGTTTCTCTTAGCTGAGTCTGGAAACTGCCTTTCCTCTCTTCTCTTGCTTTTGCTGCTAGACCTATTCCCAGGATACGATTTTAATATCCAAACTTTGGCCTTGACCTTGACTCTCCAAAGGCTATTCACCCACTCTGGTTGAGTGTTCTACATATACCTCAAGAACATGCAGAAAAGTTGAGCTCATGATTTCTCTCCAAAATTAGTCATCCTTTAAGATCCTTCCCTATATGAACAACAGCCTGATTTCCTCAGTTATATTTAACAGTGCTGGGGCCCTCCCTGACACATCCTGTCATCTTTGCCCTCATCCATCACCATCAATTCATGCTGGTTTAGCATGAAAGAATTCTACAGTTCGTGTCTCTTCTAGACTCCTCGCCCTGCTGCAAGCTAACATCCTTTATCTCCAAAATGACTGCAGACTTAACTGATTTTCCTTTTTCCACTCTTGACCTCAGAAAGCTATCCACCACACTCCCAATACTCCCTTTTCTCTAAGTACTCTATTTATCCATCAACTCTGACTTACATGCCACTCAGTGTCCTGGCTTGCTAGCCTAGCTTTTTCTTTGCTCATCATTCTCCTAGTATTATATACCCTTACCTGAGAGTTCTGATAATTTGTATGAAATAATTACAGGTATAGCTATTTAACACATTTATTTAATGTTCCCTGGATCACAAGCTTTGGATTTAGTCACATTTCCCTTTGTTAGTTGGTTAATCTTAATGTCAATAACAGTCCCCTCATCACATGAATTACGATATGTTTGTGGAGAGGGAAAGGGGGTTAGGAAGAAGCAATAAAAATTTTGACTCATTTTAAAAGCTGTAGAACTTTAAAGTTTGTACTTAAAAACCTTAAAAGGCAAGTGAAAATCTGTAGGAGGAGGGGGCCGCTTGTTCTTCCTGGCCACCTGGCTAGCTTAGCCCTGAAATAACCACACAGAATCTGTATTAATTAAATCACTGCTTGGCTTCTTATTGGCTAACTCTTACATCTTAATTTAACCTATTTCTAGTAATCTGTGTATCGCCGCGTGGCAGTGGCTTACCAGGTAAAATTCCCAGCGTCTGTCTCTGGAGGTTTCATGGCATTCCTCTGACTCTGCCTTCTTCCTCCCAGCAATCTGTTTAATTTTTCTCACCTACCTAACTTCTGCCCTGTCAAAAGGCCCAAAGCAGTTTCTTTATTAACTAATGAAAGCAACACAAAGACAGAAGGACCTCCTACACCAAAATTCCTGCAAAAACAAAAAGACTAACAGTCACCAAAAAAAAATGTAAACTATGTAAAAACAAATGTGTCTTTAGAAAGGGATAGCAGTGACAATGCCATAAGATAAAGATGAGCAAAAATGAAGACACATACAGGAAACTGAGCACGGGGTGTAGAGAGCAAGCTCCCAAAAAGAACCAATGCAAATGACTAATTAAAACTGGAAAAAGTTCTGCTTTCCAGTATTCTAAAAATGGCACATATATACTTAATTTTTTAAATAGTCAGTGTGGGAAGAAATCAGGCCTAGGCATATTCTTCTGTTAGGAGCCCAGACTCACACAGACTTTCTGGGAGGCAATCTGGTAATATGTGTCAAAATCTCTAAAAATACGATCTACTTAGGCCTAGTAAATTAATTGTCACAAATTTTCTTGAGGACACAAGCAAAGTTGCATGCAGACTCTTTTGTATAAGGATGCCATCAAGACAGCTGAAACTGTGAAATTTGTCAGAACATGGATGGAACCGGAAAATATTATATTAAGTCAGGTGACCCAGGCTCAGAGTTTCAAATATTGTATGTTGTCTCTTGTATATAGCTCTGAGTTTCTAATTTTTATGTGTGCATTTTTGTGGGAGTGAGTTTTGGTCAAAGTAATGACGCTCCAAAGGAGCCCACGAGAGGTGAACAGGGGCACCTGTTTGATCTCAAAAGAACATTAGAATTTTAGGAATTTTTAAGGTCTATGCCTTTCTAGATATGAAAGAAGGCAAAATACAGCATACACAGTATAGATTAATTTTGACAAAAAGTCAATTCAGATTTTATATTTAAAAGATGTATATGCAGCTATATTCCCACACATTACTGGAAAGCTATCTTTGGATTTGGGTATGAGTAATTTTGTTCATCCTCTTTTAAGATTTTTGTTTTATTCATTTTTTCATTGTTTATTTCTATTTTCCCTTTTCACCCTTTTATTGAAAATTGATTCTTTTCTCATATACTATATCTCGATTGCACTGTTTCCCTTCCTTCTACATCTCCCTGATCCTCCATACAGATCCATTCCCTTTCCGTCTCTGATTAGGAAAGGACAAGCTTCTATGAGATAGAAAAATAACAAAAAAAAATATATAGAGATACTTTACAAATATTATCAAAATTGTACAAGGCAAACCAAAAGAAGGAAGGAAGCCCAAGAGAGGCACAAAAATCAGAGACCCACTCATTCGCACACTCAGGAGTCCCATAAAAATACTAAACTGAAGCTATAATATATCTTAAGAGAACGTGGTGCCGACCAGAAGATCTTTTTGTATATTCTCAATATCAACCAATTATATGCATCATGACCATAATGAGAAAAACTTAAATAAATTTTAATTTGACAATGGGGAACTGATTGCAGCATATGGCTGAGGCTCTATCCAGAGAAGCATAGCATGGTGATTAAGAATATATGCGCTGAAGTTCTGAGACAGGTGTTCCATTCCCTCTTTAGAACCTAAGAGGGTATGACCTTGACCAAGTTACTTCATTCTCAAAACTTCACTTCCTTTATCAGCATGGAGATAATACACACTAGGCAGAGTTGTTTTGTAGCTTAAGTGAAATAATCTATGTAAAGTTTCGATCAAAGAATAAGCACTTAATAAGAATACCTGCTTTTATTATGCTGAAGTATAAATAGATCTGGCAATGATTTACATGAATTCTTCATCCTCTAAAGGCGTGTAAGTGGAAGTTTGGGGAATCGTTTTCTTTCTGGCTCAGCATCCTCCAGCCTGTTGTACGAGGATGCTGGAATCAACCAGAAGATGCTGAAGGAAAGACTGGCCTATTATAGAAGCAATCTCAAGAAAAGTGTGCTCATTAGGGTGAAATACTGGCATAAGCCATGCATCAACCTCTTCATCCAGCCAACAAATGGATATAACACATCTACCCAGCAAGGGATTAAGAGACTTAGCAGCAAAATGAGTCAGCTGACTTCTTGGAGCAAGATGAGGTTCTTCTATTTGGGCACATGGTTACTGCTGGATACAGGAATTAAGAAACCAAGGAAGCATTTTATAAAGTTGGAGAACACTTGGCAGGGCCCAGGAACAAAGTTGTTAAAATGATGGCAAAGCCATTTTTTTTAGGCATCAAATCACAACCTAAAGTAAGCTGGAGCCTACCTACTTAGGTTCCCTGTGCCCAATCAGGTTCACTTCACCAGTAGGCTTACTCAGTGAGTGAATGAGAAGCTGTCAGTCAAATCCAACCCACTGTCTGATTTAGAATATGAAGTTTTATTAAAATACACCCATATTTATTCATTTACAGATTTTCTGTGGCCATTTTTGTGCAAAGTCAAGAGATTGAAGCAGAGGTAGTATCAACCATCAGTCATGACATACAATGCCTAATCCTTTATAGAAACTTTGATAGACTGTGGTCTTGGTTAGTAGAACTGGAGAAATGATTTGGGAAGTGACATCAGGCTTACAACATTTCCCTTCTGCAGTTCCAGGAGCTGTTCCTCTTGAGTCCATCCAGGGAGGGCCCTTTGAGGAGAAGATCTACATCCAGTGGAAACCTCCCAATGAAACCAATGGGGTCATCACACTCTATGAGGTAAGGAAGCTCCTGTGCCACTTCAGATAGTTCAGCTTCGTTCAGTGAGCTACTTCAAGGGCGTAGAGGTGAGTGAGACACAACTTGGGCATATAGTTGGACTGTTTTGATTATCCCAAAGAAAAAATACATGTGGATATGCCTTGCATTGAAATTATTGTGGTTAGGAGTGATCTCTTCTACAAATGGGTCAATAGTTTAAGGCATCAGGTTGTCCTGAGGTAAAAGAGAAAGACCTGGAAGACAGAAGCTAAAGTTTGTATGGAAACCACAGTGCTCATGGCAAATCAATATATATAT